CACTCTTTCTCTTTGTTTCTTTAACTATGTTTGTTGTATTCTTCAATCAATATGAGTGATGATACACACCACTACCTTTACTTACATCCCAGTGAAAACCCTGCAATTACACTTGTACTTGTTTAAGGGCATACTCGTAATCTTCTAGTAGTCTAAGAGTCGAACGAGAGCTCCGGGTAAATGCTCCAAGGGAGGAGGTACTTGCAAAAGGTTCTCTGGTGCTCAAATCAAGACAAGCACGAATATCGATGGTAATAAATGAATAGTAACTATACCTCGTTTGGTGTGACTATTTATACTAGCTATGTTAGGCCCTGCGTGTAGTGGGTCTCCTTTATCATTTATCAAATTAGGTAATACGGTACTCAATGATTGATTACATCCTTAATCCCGTGTCTTTCCTTGTTAATCGTGATTATCATTCTAAGTATGGTATTGGCTCTTTCGGTCATTGGCCGAACCAAGAGGTGTGGGTCATCCGGTGAGCCTAAGCATGAGTGCCTCGAACAAGACCATGCTTTCGGGTCTCGGCCAGTAGCCAGACTGATATGTTCTCAACGATTGGGATCAGTGTTTGTCTCGATCATTTCGGCTGCCAGCGTGGCCAAGGCTGGGGATCTTGGATGCACATGTTATTGTAGTTTCGGCCGTATTGGTAGCTGGTATGTCCGAGACAATTGTGACAGAACACCACGTATTATCTTGACCATTTTGGGTGTCGAAATGACCGACACGTGGTGGGCCACCTGTCGTGCCATGTGGTTGTCTTATTCCTCCCGGTACAACACTTGTTTCACCAGTGCTTGATTATTGTAATTACCATTCATGGAGCAGATCCATCCTCACGACCCTTAGTGCTAAGAACAAGGTGGAATTTATTGATGGAAGTGTCACCCCTCCATTGAAATATGATTCTCTATATCTAGCTTGGCGATGATGCAACAACATGGTCGTTTCTTAGATTGTTCATTTTGTTTCCCCTTCAATCCGTTAGAGCATGTTATGGATGGACCTGGCCGATGACATCTAGAAGGATTTGAAATCCAGATATTCACAAGGTGATCTTGATGGAATCACACTAAGGCCAAGAAGACTAAAAGGTGATATATTGAAGGAGGCAAGAGGAATGGGTTAGTTCAGCCACCATAAGGTATACAACCCCCGCAGCGTCGAGGATGGGAAAGACGAAGACGTTTTAATTGTATAGGGTTATGGTTCTCGGCGTGGAATGGAAGATGTTGCTTCCGACCGCTAGTAGTAGTGTGCATGTTCCAAGTGTAGTCGATTTTGCTAACCTCGGTGGTCGTGGCCGGTTCAAATTTCCTTGTGCCAAACGTCCTCCCTAATTGCTAGGCATGTTATGATGAGGTCGGCTATCTCCGAGGAGAGGTTGCAGGGGAGGCTTAAGGAGGCTGAGGCGACGTTGGAGGCATTGACCGCCAATGGAAAGGTCACCGAGTCGGCCGAAGCGTGCTCGGCCTCGGAGTCGGATCATGCGATTTAATACGCGAAGTGTATTTGATCCGCGAGAGTGCTCGGCTTGAGAGTGTTCGACCGAAGCGTGCTCGGCTTCGGAGTCGGATCACGCGATTTGATACGCGATGTATTTGATCCGCGAGAGTGCTCGACTTGAGCGTGTTCGGCCGAAGCGTACTCGGCCTCGGATTCGGATCATGCGATTTGATACGCGAAGTGTATTTGATCTGCGAGAGTGCTCGTCTTGACACTTTTTGAGTGATCGGTCGAGTATTGCTCGGCATCGGCATATGTGCGTAATGCTCGGCCTAGGTACATCCTTAGCCGAGGAGGGTACTCGGGAGGGAAACCTGTCGGGCTCAAGTGCACTTTTTGAGTGATCGACCGAGGATTGCTTGGCGTCGGCGTATGTGCGTAATGCTCGGCCTAGGTACATCCTTAGCCGAGGAGGTTACTCGGGAGGGAAACCTGTCGGGCTCGAGCGCACTTTTTGAGTGATCAGCCGAGGATTGCTCGGCGTCGACGTGTGCGTTATTCGAGATTGGACCTGCATGAGCGCGACCTAAACGTATATATATAGTAAAATAAGGAACGACATGACAAATATTTAAAAATGTCTTGTATACATTGTGTAACGTGGTCCTCTCGTGGGACGAGCATTTGAGGGCTCGGCATTTGCCTTTCTCATCGGGTCTCGACCCGGTTCTTTTCGTCCATATCCCTCCTCGGCTCTGGCCTGATTTCTAGTCTCCGCCAATTCTTCCATTTGCATGTACTTCTCGGCTCGGCGTCGGAGATCGTTCATATCACCAGGCGGTTTCTTACACAAGCTATTCACAAATGGCCCCGGCCTGAGGGCAGTGCTCGGCCGATCCATTGCCACGGCTGGGTTAAGGTCGCCGATCTCCATGGCGATCTTGTTGAATCGGTCCATGAAGCTTCTCAAACTTTCCTTCTTCTCCTGA